GTAAAAGGAATCGAAAAACAAACGGATACTTAGAGATTCTCTACCGGAGAACGTAAACATTCAGATTATAGACAACCAATTTTAGATGGAAACCAGTGTCGTTAGGGTGAGCGACGCATTAAACCTGGAAACAATATGTAGTGCGGGTTATTAGGCTGACTAAACAAAGTCGTCCGAAATTGGTCCTCCGACCGATTGTAAAAGGTTGCTACGCAACCCAGAAAACAGGGGCAAAAAACAGGGTTTCCACAAGATAGACGCCTTATAGAAGACGCAGTGTCTTCTATTATTAGTGTAAGGAATGAGTAATTCCTTACTGAGGCTTTCTACAAGGCGTACGACTCGAACATTCCCGAACCATCGCCAGGGTTCCAGACCTATCAGTTCGAGCCTCCTGGGCCTTTCCGGACCTCGCTACGACACATCGAGGCCCTTCGATACCTTTCCCGAACCTTCCAATCCTACGACCAGGATCACCCTAGGCTTTCTATATATTGTATTGTCTTTCATTTTTTTGTCATTTAATGAGCCCCGTCATTTGACAGGGGACTCACACCTGCCTCTTTGCCATATTGCAAGGGGGGTTTTCGTGCCTGCGTTTTTGCGCTAACAGCCCGGATAGATTTTTCTTTTGTTAGGGCAAGTTGAAAGGAAACAAGACTCAACTACTATTGGGCTTCGGTTTCACCCTTGTGCAATCAAACACACATTGGTACACTTGCACTAAACCGCCTGAAAGTCAAATTTTGCACGAGTAATTTCCCTTTGAGCACACTTCGTGCTTGTTCACCTCGATACTTGGCAGGGACGCAAGTTTGTCGAGGCACAGAGTTGAGGTGGTTGAGTCTCGTCATCCACTGCTGCGGGTGGGTTCGGTTACAGGGGTCTCAAGATGCAGCATCTTGAGAAAATGAGAGTTGCAACCTGCTGGTCGGGCTTTACGTGGAGGACAGTGCTTGTGCTGACGTACGATCAGGCGTCGGGTTGAGCAACAAATTGGAGGAAAGCGCGTACAAGCTGGCAACTTCACTATTGGCAGCAAACCCCAAGTCATCATTTTCGTTTCCCGTGGGAATCAGATTGGATGTTACATTCGATGGCTGTTGCGTTGATTCTCCCAAGCCTGGGGAACCAATGGGGAATGCACCAACATTCCGAAGGGTGGACCATGTTCGACGTAAGTTTACGGGAGAGCTGCCCAGGATTTTGTGCTTGAAAGGGATTGTTTCGTGTTTCTATGGGTTATAAACAAGGCTTGAAAAATCAGCAAATAGAAATGTTATTTTGTTTCAATTAAAAAACAATGGAGCAGGGGTTTTCAGGGGATACCTTCGTTAAAATCTGCACTCGCTTGACTCGAAAGGGGTGCAGGCCATGGTTTGCTGCCAGGGTTTTGACATTTCACACTACCCGGATTTTGACCAATTAACGGGTTGCGACGTGTTCGATTTTCATGAACCCGGACATTGACGGGTGCATTTTGACCAGAACACATTAAAGCGAGGGTCTCAAGAAGCAAAAACCAAACCCAAAGGTTTTGGTTTCGGGGGGTCTCAAAAATTGCGGGGTGTGGTAAGGGGTGCTGGTTGGGCACTGTAACTGTTTCGCAAAGTTCGTCAACCCAAAACCAAAACCTTTGGATTTGGTTTTCTGCTTCTTGAGACCCTCGCTTTAAGTGATGTGTTAGGTTTTGATAAACACGGATACAGAACTAGAGCTTCTCACACCACCCCACCGACTCCCAGCCATTCCCCCTCCCCAGGGCAAATCGGCCCTAGCAAGGAAGTTCCAGAGGTGGAAGTCGAAGATCTTACGTGGTTCCCTTAGTAGAATCCAGGAACTTTTCGTAAGAGCTTTTGTTATCACAAATAAATAAATAAATAAATAATCGTGACAGAACTCGGACACTGACGGGTAATGTTTCACATGAGCCCGTTTAATCCGGGTCTGCCGTGTGGACGAAAACCCTAAGGTAAGCCCTGATCGTGCGCCACTCGTCCACTGAGACCACCGGAGTGAAACGTCTTTCAGTGTCGTACAGTCAGCTCGACGACGTGGTCCGGTTTTACAGCACATTGGAGCTGCCCCAGAAAGACGATACAGTAGAGTACCCAGTACAGCGGAACACAAAATCGCACACAGCCCGCTAGTACCCCCGTCCACCTGGCACTTTTGCATGGGCACGCTGGCATGGGCATGCCTACGTACCCCCTTTTTCATCCATTCTGTCATACGATTACGGTCCTATTCTAATCCTCGTATCAAGAGTATTCAGGGCGTTTTCTATTTTTTAGAACCAATCACGTAAATATTTAGGCTTCCCTTGTGACACGAACAGGTCAATCCTACATTCGAAAACACGACCCTCATTCCCTCAATAACCGTTGACAACTGCACATTTCAAAAATGATTTTCTCAAGGGTTTTTTTTTTGCTTTTGTAGAAACGTGTGGTTGGTTAACGAATCCACTCAATTAAGTCGTCAGAATTTCGCTGCGTTTAGCCCTTTTCGTGAGACCGCGAGAAGGGTTTTCCAATTTTTTTGTTTTGCGCGTTTTGAGCCTGCGCTGCTTGTGGGAAGGTCGAGAACGAGGTGTTACTTTTTTTGTCCGCGTGTTTCTGACCAGACGACAAATTCGCGGAGCGTTTTTTAAGAGGCCACATGAGCCCTCACATGACACGCGGCGAAATCGCTGGTAACCTTGCCCATGTGGCCAATACGCCAAGGCACCCATCGTGAACAAAACAAGTAAAACGGCCTACGCCACCCCACCTAAAATCCCTCGTGCTACTCTATTACCCATTTTGCCCGTTGCGTACCGCTCCTATTCGTCGTAGTCCTTATTTGCGAGTCGAGGATTTGGAGCATAGAGCATACCCGCTGTACCGGGCAGCTCCAATGTGCCCAGTGCTGTACCGACGATGCCCAACTGTACCCAGTCGTGACAGAATTTAATGAGGCTAGCATTCCTTGGGACCGACAATTGTCGATCACGCGCCGGCTTGATTTCCAGCTTGCGAGCAATCATGAATTCGTGGTGTTTTTGTGTGGTGTGAAGTACACACCATTCCGCGCAAAGATGACATGCACGCGCGAAGCATCTCTCTCATCTCGTCTCGACTTGAGTCGACCAACTAAAGGAGTTTGAGCTGAGGGCAGTTTCCCCTTTGACCCGAAGCACTGACGGTTTGAAGCCATACACACCTCATCAATATTCCTGACGTGTGAGCGTCTACACAGCTTCGAGTTAAAAAAAACTGACACTAGGGGAGGACGTGCCCAAATATGAGAATTTGTCGTGAACAGGGTACGCCCCTAATGTTGAAAATTTTAGAGTAATTTCTCGACTGGTTCCGTTTTTCGACAGAGTGAAATTACCCCGATTCCTTCTGCCTCACGGATTAGGTTTCGTGTAATTCCTTGAGATAACAGGTTATCTCCCACTCAATCCGTAAGTAGTGTACTTTTAGAGAGAAATCTGCAAGGAGCAAGCCAGTCAGAATGATCCCTCACGCCACCCGACCACTATCTAGCTTAGGAAAACGGTCCATTCCCTACATGGTGTTTAGGGGAAATACTATTTGCTTTCCCGATACCCCTGCGACATGGTTGAAAAGGACCCTCACACCTTTAGCCGTGGCAAAAGCACCCTTTCGTTGAGACTGGTAGGTGTGACATAAAAGAGTAGTACTTCAACGAGTCCGTTCGTTGACGGGTAAGTTTCAGGAGATTCCTTCCGCTAACGGATAATTTTGGGGACGATTCCGTTCCCTTACGACATGCCCTAGGCCTTAGCGAGAGACCTGGCTGATACTGTACAGCAACAAGAAAGGGGCTTCGAGAAGCATTTGGGGGGCGGGTCCAAATATTTCACACCTGTACAGTAAAGAGAAGCAAAGAGAAAGGGGCTTCGAGAAGCACTTCGAGAGACCTGCTCAGGCCTTAGGGCAAGTCCAAATATTTCACACCCTATTCATTTCGTGGAAAGTAGCCCGATTTTAACATCTTTTATATTCCGCGAGGGCGCGTGCGCGAAATTGACGTAACTCGGGAAGCTCGACGCATGCACCCCAGCTATTTTGCATTTACGATTCGGGAGACGGTAGGTGTACATTTGGGGGTGGGTGAGCGCGTGTGGCGCTTTGGAGTTCCGCCAAGCCAAGCTTGGCGAGAACAAGGCGACCTCGCGAACAGCTCGCGTGGCGCAACACCAAATCGCACCTGTCACCCAGCCCTGCACGAAACATCATTTTAGCAGAGTTATACCGTGTGTCAAGCATGTGCTATAGCCCTACGTGATACGTGGAAGCACATACTGCCCGGGTGTCAGGGGAGTTCGACGCTGGCGGTAATATTGCTCGCTCGCTCAAACCAGTGAAAATCGCGTCTACCAGTCAGGTACAGTGTCGCATATGTTGACAGACCAAAATCCGCGAAACAAACTGACCTAATTGGAATGCCCCACGACCTAAGTTTGCGACAAGCGAACTACTAGCAAATCTCGCCTGACCTCGCTAATGCCACCTGGCGACGCTTTTGGAGGTCCTGGTGTCAACAGTCGCGCAGTTAGATCGACCTGTCCCGCGGGCCAGCTCGCAAACCCTGTACCGACCGTCTGCGTCATTTCTAACTGCGCCCTGAGATGTGCGGCGTCAGAGGCGAACCGTTTTTTTGCGACGCACCCACTTGGCGCCAGCTTCTATTTTTGTTCGCAATATGGGACGCGGTTTGGGGGGAGATGGATTTTGGGATCCTTTTCTATTGTTGTACCCGAGTTCGTAAAAACGTTTCCAGAAAACACAATTGAACAATTTGGACCCGCCCTTATCGGCCTGGTTGGAGGTCCTTGAAACTACAGCACACGAACTCGCTAAAATTACCCTTACGCTGGTTCGGTTCTGTGACAATCAAGCCCATAAAAACGGAACCAGGGCAGAAGCCGACAAATTTATGGAAACCACAGATTGCTGCAATTCGATTGTGGTCAACCCCGAAACCCACAGCACAGAGAAAAGGTCCCGAAACCAGAACATCGGGTCGGGAGACGGTCAAATACAGTACAGAGATGCAATGCCACGGTGGCAGCTGCAACGTGTGAAGAGTGAAATCAGCGGGATCTTATTTTTTTACAGCGCCAGCCTTATCATGCTCAACATCCAAGTGGTGTGCATTGGCTCATTTTAGACCACTGGTTGGCGAGGAATGACTGACAGCTCGAATTGCCAGATTGACGACGAATGATTCGTTGGTCCTCAGGTCCTCGCTCCCCCAAACCTCCTGCAACGAATCATTGCGGGGCATTGAGCGAGCAGGCACTCAACTGGGACACCCAGCAAGCAACGCAAAATCCTTCTTTCCTTGCTTCCCTTGTTTGCCCTCCAAAGTCTGATTCCACAAGCCCGAGCTACTCAAATCATGGGTTCGACACCCCTCTTCTAGCAGTCATCTGCGACGCGCAATCTCCGAGGTTTGACCTCTTTTCCAGCAATTCCTATCCCCTTTTTACAGGAAAACGGCGCGGAAAAAGATGTGTGCCGTCACGGTTCGAAGCGGCAGCCACTGACGTACGGGCATCTGTCCTCTGGGTTTATCCCCTTTTCCAGCAATTCCTATCCCCTTTTTAAAAGGAAAACGGAGCGGAAAATATGTGTGCCTTTCGAGACGGCAGCACCGCCATGATCCGCGGCGTGGATGACGAGGTCCGCGGCGCGACAGCGGCAGATCTTTCCATGCAAGCAACTACCAGAATGTGGTCCAAACAGGTACCTTTCACTCTTTTTGGCTTCTTTTGAGGCCCATTTCTCCCTCTGCACGTCCGGCTGAAACAACTCAAAGGTATAGTCCATTTACTCCATCTCTCCGGTTCTCCTTCATTCGCCCCTTCTCTCCCCCTCCCCCGCGCTTCCGCCCCGCGCATTCGGCTCGCAGGAGGACGCCACGCTGCTGCGCCACGCGCTGCGCTTCGGCACCAAGCAGTGGGGCGCGCTCGAGAAGAGCTGTCTGCTGCCGCACCGCGACAACAAATCCTGCTGCAACCGCTTCCTCTTCCTCAAAAAGTGACACACGCCCCCTCCCCCCTCTCCCCCCACCCCACCCCCTTTGCCCATTCCCCTCAAAGCCCCCCCACACCTCCTCCCCTCTTCACCCCCCCCTCCCCCTGCGATGTTTCTTCTCCCTGTCAACACGCCCCCCTGCGTCGCCCTTGTCTCTCTTGTCGCACCTGCCGCCCCAACCTCCTCAAAGCCCCTCAATCCCTCTCAACCCCTCCGTGCCGTTCTATCTCCACCTACCCCCAACCCTCAAACCCTGCAGGAAATTCAGCGAGTCGCACCGGCGCTGGCAAGCAGACAAGGCACACCCGGAGAGCCGCCGCTCGGGTGAGGCCAGCCTGGGTCAGCCGAGCAGCCCCGGGCAGAGGGGGGCGTCTCCAGATGCGGCAAATGAGCGGGCAGCAGAAAGCGACAGCAAGCGCAACGACCGGCACGACCAAAGCCCAGCTAACACAGGAGAAGCAGATGCATATGCAGAAGCAACAGCTGAAACGGCAGTAACAGAAAAGCCACCAGCAGCAGCACCAGCAGCAGCAGCACCAACACCAGCAGCAGCAGCAGCAGCAGCAGCAGAAGCGGCGCAGCCACGGGCGTACGGGCATCTGTCGCTGGAGGCGAGCGAGTGGCTGTTCCTGGGGCTCGGTGCGAGCCGCGACTGGCCTGAGCTGCACGACAGCATCGCCCTCACCGCTGCAGCCACGGCCGGCAGACTGGCTGCTGCTGGCACTCACGGCATTGCGCCACATGGTGCTGCCAGCACTAGCCTGATGACTAGTAGTCCGATGGCTAGAGCTGCTGATGCTGCCCATGTTTATGGTCTTGGCAGCCTACCTGGGAGCAGAGGAGGAGGAAGAGGGGCGTTTTTCCACCTGGAGTCTTGTCCTCCGCTGGGCGCTGGTGACGCTGCTGCCGGTGCTGCTAGTGCTGCCGGTGCTGCTAGTGCTGCCGGTGCTGCTGGTGCTGCCGGTGCTGCTGGCGCGTCGTTTGCTGCTCTCTCTACTTCCCTCCCGACTGCCCTCTCGGCCGCTCGTCCCGCTGTTCTGTCTGCTGCCTCTCCTTCCACTCACGCACCCTCTGCGGCACGCTCAGCTGCTTTGCGTCACGGACATTCAACATTACATTCAACATTTCTCGGGCAGACTTCTTTTCTCGGGCAGGCGTCTTTCCCCGGGCATCTGGCATGTGGGGTACAACCCTCTTTACACCCGCTTGTCGCAGGGAACTTCCCGCCGCTGGCAACGCTTCTGGCTGCGCACGGCTCAGTGTCAGGCGGCCGTCCCATTGCTGCTGATAGTGGCACCACTGCTGCTGCTGATAACGCCCCTGCTGCTGCTGCCGCTGCTGCTGCTGCTGCTAGTGCTGCGGCTGCTTTCCTGCCGTCTCTGGGGGACGATGCTGCCCCTCTTATGGGTGCTTCCGGTGCTGGCGCGAGCAGCAAGAGGAGGTTCGCGGATGTTCAAACGCCGGCGTTCGATGCAGCTGGGATGCTGTGCGAACCCCGGCAAGGAGCGGGAGCAGATGGTTGCTGGGATGGTGCTGGGATGCGAGAGTCACCTCCGACGCGGAGCACGAGATTCGAGGATGGCACGACGCTGTGTGAGTCAACGCAGGGAGGCGTCTCCTCCCTAATCCCGCGAATGAGCTTGATCAAGCAGCAGCTGCTCCTGCTTCAGCAGCAGCAGCAGCAACAGCAGCAGGGGCAGCAGGAACAAGAACGGGAGCAACAGTCTCAGCAGCAGCAGCGGCAGCAGCAGCAGTGTCTGAGAAGGCAGCAACTGCTGGAGCTTCAGCAGCTGCGGATGCGGCAGCAGAACCAGCAGCGGCTGCAGCAGCTGCAGCAGCAGCTGGAGTTGGCTCAGAACGTGCAGGAAGCGGCGTGGAGACGAAAACAGCAAGCCACCGTCCAGGTGAAGGAGGAGGAGACGCAGGATAAGGAGCAGCAGCAGCAGCAGCAGCAGAATGAGCAGCGGCTACAGCAGCAGCAGCAGCAGCGGCGGCGGCGGCGGCAGCAGCGGCAGCAGGATCACACCGCACCCTCAGTGATGCGCCCAGCCCTTGCCTGTCACCCTCTCCCCTCTCTCCACATCCCACCCCGGCCCAACCTGCACGGCTGCCAATCCCACAGCAGCAGCTGGAGCACGGCTTCTTACCACCGCTCCCCCCACTCCCTCCCACTGTCCCCCATTGAACACCCTCACTCCCCCCTACTCCCCCACTCCCCCCTACTCCCCCACTCCCCCCTACTCCCCCACTCCCCCCTACTCCCCCACTCGCCCCTGCGGCACCCTCACTCGCCCCTTCACCCCCACTCGCCCCTGCGCCCGCACTCCCCTCTAGAACATTCGTACTCCCTCTCCTTCCCCAACCCCCCTCCAGCCGGCTCCCCGTCCGACGGACCCTCGCCCCGACTCCCAAGGTCCGAGGTAAATCAGCGGCCAAATCCCCCCACCCTCCCGACCCTCCCGACCCTCCCGAACCTCCCGAACCTCCCGAGCCTCCCGAGCCTCCCCAATCAGCGGCCAACCCCCCCCACTCTTCCGTATCTCCCAGCCCCCCCGAGCCTCCAGCACTCGTTTCAGTTCCCCCCCCCCCCGGCCCTGGCGGACGCAGCAGTGTGCAGATCGGCCACCTCCTCGTTTGAGGCGCCTCACACCTCATCGCCAGTACCAGCAGCACCGGCAGTATCAGCAGTATCGCCGCGTGAGGCGCCAGTGCAGTTGCACTCGCCTCCCCCCCCCCCTCGCCACTACCCCTGGTCTTGCGACGCGTTTCAGCGACCGCCCTTACCCGCTTCGGCTCCTGCCTCTCTTGGAGCACCTCTAAGACCGTCGTCTCATCCCTCCGCCACACTCGCTACTGTCCCACTTTGCAACAGCCCGCCCCAGCTCCGCTCCCCACAGTCACATCCGCTTCACTCACACAAGCACCAGCTCTTCCCCCCACCTTCCCGGGCGGATCCAGAAGGTTCGGCAGTGGTTGGAGGTTCGGCAGCTCGTGGAGGTTCGGCAGCGCCTGGAGGTTCGGCAACGCTTTGGCATAAAAGTGACTATATGGGGGACTACATGACGGGGGGTAACAGCAGCGGCAGTGGGGGCGACGGGAGCAACATGGCATGTGATACTAACAGATTGCTGGCTGGGAACATGGAAGGCACTGCAGCGTGTGACTATAACGAGCGCCCGGCTGTCAAGCCTCGCCTGGTGAGGCTGGTACCTGCAGCCAGCAGGTCTTTCACCTTCGGCGATCAGTATAAACGCGCCCTCGCTTCTGCTTCTGCTTCTGCTTCTGCTTCTGCTTCTGCTTCTGCTTCTGCTTCTGCTTCTGCTTCTGCTTCTGCTACCGCTACTGCTGTAACCATGGATGCTGCTGCGATTTTTGGTAACATGGTAACCAGCCACGGTGTCAGCAGCAGGGGGGTTGCTACCACCAGCCATGTGGTAACCAGCCAAGCCGTAACCAACCATTGGATACCCGGTGCTGGTGCGGCTGAGTTGAATCCCCGTTATAAAATGGAGGAGATGACCACGCGGAGCATTGCTGCGGCGCACACTGCGCCACTCGCAGACTGCCACGTGGCGTCCAAGAGGGTCAAGTCCCGAAGCGCGGATAATTTCGCTACCATCTTCTCTCCCGGTGCCTCTGAGGAGGGCGACGTTATGTGGGGCGGTGGCAACTCGGGAGAACCTTCCAGGAAGCTGCAGCAGAGAAAGGCGGGGGAGCGTGAAGGGGCGGGCGGGGTTGGCACTACGAGTACTAGTACTAGGGCTGCTGGTTTGGGGGGGCGGGTGCAGACTTTAGTAGAGTCGACTCAAAAGCCAGCTGCTGGTTGCGAGGAGTGGCAGGTGCAGGAATGCCGCGGAGCCGTGACTACTAATGCTCGTGCGACTCCTGACGGTGCGGAGGCTATCCGTGCAGAGGCTATCGATGAGGCCATCGCTGCTGCCTACGGTGCGGAGGCAATCCGTGCGGAGACCATCGATGCTGCTGACGGCGCAGAGGCGCCGCTGAAAGCGCCCTTGGATCCCGTCACCGCTGGTGCCTACATCGACATCTTTGCAGTCGCCGCCGATCAGAATCTAACCGCCGATCTAACCGCCGAACCTCATTTAACCGCCGATCCTCGTCTAATCGCCGACCCTCATCTAACCGTCGATTCTCCTGTTACTGGCGATCCTCATGTAACCGGCGCCGGCCAGTTCGGCGAATTAGGGTTCGATTTCGGGCAGTCGATCCTGCTCGACTCGCTGACCAGCGGCCAACCCGCAACTTCCCATCTGACGCCCACGCATAATCTGGGCGATACGACACATGACGCGATGCTGGCGCTCGATGCCATGCCTGCGCCTTGGGAGAGCGGCGGAGGAGAGACTAGAAGTATGGACATGAGCTGAAAACAAAAAAAAAACAACAACAACAACAACAAAAAAAACAAAAACAAAAAAACAAAAAAACAAAAATCCGCAGCGGAGGCGAGACGATGGACATGCGCTACCGATCGCCGAAGCTGCTCGACTCAGAGTCTATTTTTTAGCTTAAGTCGATTTTTTAGCTCGTGTCAAATTGTTAGCTAGATTCCAGGATTAGGTCCACCGGTGCTGCTCAAGGCGCGATAACTGGGCGACCATCCGTTAATCGCTTGCATCTGACCGCGAAACGCGACGCGATACTACTAACCGAGGGACTGCGGATTCGAGCTAATGTTGAGGCTGCCGCCATGGCTCAGACAGCAGGTTGCTAGCAACGCAATCTGACCAAGTGTGAAAAAAACGGATGGGTGTGGTGTGGTGGTTGGGTGGGAGTCTTGGGAATCCCGACTGGTTGGGTTGGGAGTCTTGGGAACCCTGGCTCCCAGTTTCGTCAGATAATGTTTGTTCTATACAGTATACGGGTTGCAAATAGGATTGTCCCGTTACACAAAATTATGGCGCCCTAGATCCATTGTTACTTGTTTGAAATACAGACTCATTGA